TTAAAATTGAGTTCCAATATTTGAGGATATGACACCAACAACAGACAGAGTAAGTTAATAAAAAATCGTGTAAAAAAAGGATCCCCCGTGTAGCCTGAACAGACTGTTGGGGCAAGTGCTGTTAGCGAGCACCTATGAAGGCCGGAACGGCACACGCGCGGGGTGGGTGACCAGCACCACGCCCGCCCGCTTTTGTCTCCCCAGTGGCGATGTTTTACACACCGCACCAGGTACTCACTTGATGCTGAGTCGACCTAGGGGAGGCCCAGTACCGGTTCAGACAATCGCCACGGGTGTTGGCCGTGAGCGGGAATCGAACTCGGCTGGCCGGGTTCATAGCGCTGCGTAGCGCTAACCGCTGCACCACCGCTCCATGCACACACCCGCACGCACAGACAAACTCAGCTATGCAACGACACACATCAGCAAAACCAAGACACACACACACTCTCAATGGCACAGACACGCACGCATGATTCTAGATTTGAAGCTTTCGTGACTGCAAGGATTCATATTCTTAGGTTTTTTCGGTAAAGTCACGTAGGTAAAAAAAATTAAATTAATAAAAGTAAAATAAAAATAAAATAAAAATCACGACGTTTCGGAGGCAACACAAGCTTCCGTCTTCAGGCTCCTCCCACCCTCAACCAGTATATATACAAATACTGTGTTCTTGGAATTTCTCTCACTTGATACAGCTATCGTGCTGTGACGGTTCCACCTGAAGACGGAAGCTTGTGTTGCCTCCGAAACGTCGTGATTTTTATTTTATTTTTATTTTACTTTTATTAATTAAATTTTTTTACCTACGTGACTTTACCGAAAAAACCTAAGAATACGCACACATGACCTCACTCTAATGCTACCAGTCTAGGCTGACCTTGGCCCGACAGAGCCGTTCTGCACGTAACCCCAAGGCCCTCGCACGTATGGGTTGGAGTCCAATGCTGAGTCTCTGTCAGATTCTTGGTTCTTTCGGTAAAGTCACGTAGAAGGGAAATAATAAAAATAAAACATAATAAAATAAAATAATTCTCACGACGTTTCGGCTTTACCGAAAGAACCAAGAAGATGAATCCCTGCAGTCACGAAAGCTTTAAATCGAAATCTCTGTCAGATGTTCGACCAAGAGCTGACGACTCACGCGCCCTCGGGCTCGCAGGTCGAAGGTCAAACATCGCCTCGCGCACCGTGCACACGCGGACACGCCACAAAGACAAAGATGCCCCCCCCCCTGTGTAGCCTCAACAGACTGTTGGGGCAAGTGCTGTTAGCGAGTAGCACCTGTGAAGGCCGCCACGGCAAACGGGGGTGGGCCAGCACCTCGTGGCGATGTTTACACACCGCAAACCTGCTGACTCATTTGAGGCTGAGTTGACCTAGGGGAGGCCCAGGCCCGGTTCGGTTAATCGTCACCGGTGTTGGCTGCGAGTCGCCGGGTTCGTATCACAGCGCGCTAGCCACTACGCTACCGCTCCCCACACACGCACACAGCACACACACGCACACACACTCTCTCTCACACACTGTGGTCTATATTTAGCAACGGATCGTGATGCGTCAGCAGAAAAAAAGGGATTCGATTGATAGAGCGCCGCACAATCTGCAGGCATCGCACTCACCGGCGCACGGAGCAAGTGAAGCTCATCGCCAGACGCGACAGAGACGACGACGACGTTGTTATATTACAGACTGCCAGGTTGGAGGGGGGAGGGCGCAGTGGTTAGCGCACTACACGATGAATGAACCACGCAAACCCGAGTTGGATTCCCAGCCACGGCTAAGATCGCTGGCTAGTGATGTATCATAGATACATAGAAATAAACCGGCGCTCGCTCGCTCTCTCCCCCTACCTCCCTCTCTCTATCTACCACCTTTCACCACGGCTACTGATGAAGGTGCAATCGTAGTCGAGGCAGGTGGAGCGGTGGGCGCAGCGGATAATCGCGACGCACTTTTGAGACTCGGCAAAGCCGCATTCGATTCCCAGCCAGGGCGGCTGCCATCAGTGGCGAGTTTGCTGCACGGAGCGGTCCTGGACTCTCATGCCCCGAACACTTTTGCCAAAGATAAAGATCCCCCGTATAGCCTTAACGAGTGTTGGGGCAAGTGCTGCTAGCGAGTAGCACCCGCGAAGGCCGGCACGGCGCACGTGGGGGCGGTGGGTGGCCAGCAACCACGCCCGGCCGCCTTTGTCTCCCCAGTACACGTGCATTGCTTTACGGTGTGCACGCATCCGTTTCGACACGTGCCACGTAACGCGATCAGTTGTGCACGTACACACACCTTGCACGTACACACACATTGCACGTACACACTGCACGTACACACACTTTGCATGTACACACACCTTGCACACACACTGCACGTAGACACACACTGCACGTACACACACATTGCACGTACACAGTGCACGTACACACACATTGCATGTACACACACCTTGCACACACACTGCACGTAGACACACACTGCACGTACACACACATTGCACGCACACACACTGCACGTACACACACACTGCACGTACACACACCTTGCACGTACACACACACTGCACGTACACACACACTGCACGTACACACACCTTGCACGTACACACACACTGCACGTACACACACACTGCACGTACACACACACTGCACGTACACACACACTGCACATACACTGCAGGTACACACACCTTGCACGTACACACACACTGCACGTACACACACTGTACGTACACACACCTTGCACGTACACACACACTGCACGTACACACACTGTACGTACACACACACTGCACGTACACACACACTGCACATACACTGCAGGTACACACACACTGCACGTACACACACTGTACGTACACACACCTTGCACGTACACACACACTGCACGTACACACACACTGCACATACACTGCAGGTACACACACCTTGCACGTACACACACACTGCACGTACACACACACTGCACATACACTGCAGGTACACATACCTTGCACGTATACACACACTGCACGTACACACATTGCACGTACACACACCTTGCACACACACTGTACGTACACACACACTGCACGTATACACACCTGCACGTACACACACTGCACGTAGACACAGCTTGCACATACACACACCCTTGCACGTACACACACACCTTGCACATACACACACCTGCACATACACACACACTGCACGTACACACACTGCACGTAGACACAGCTTGCACATACACACACCTTGCACGTACACACACACTGCACGTACACTGCACGTACACACCCCTTGCACGTACACACACCTTGCACGTATACACACACACCTTGCACATACACACACCTTGCACGTACACACACACTGCACGTACACACACACTGCACGTACACACACCTTGCACGATGACTTGCATGTTGGGATGTATCAAACGATGCACTCGCTGGTTTATTATTGTTATTATAGATGTACACCGTACGGTACTCGCAAGCAAAACAACCCACGCACACACATTGTCTGAAGACGTACGGACAGCCGTACGGACACGATACAGGCGCATTGTCTAACGACGATCTGTTCACGCATCCGTGCAGGTCGCCAATGGTGGTGAAGTATGGTCAAAAGTAGCAACGAAGACCCGACACGGCACGGAGAAGGCCCTTATCCCAGCAGGTGTTGTTGACAGCAGCAGTAACAACAACAACACAAACTATAACCGGGAGCTCCGCGTGAACCCTCAAGGGACTAGGTCGACTCGACCTCAAATGAGTACCTGGCGCGGTGTGTAAACCATCGCCACACGGGGAGACAAAGGCGGCCGGGCGTGGTGCTGGCCACCCCCCCCACCCCCCCCCCCCCCACCACGTGTGCCGTGCCGGCCTTCGTGGGTATTACTCGCTCACAGCACTTGCCCCCAAAGCTCCGTTGAGGCTACACGGGGGGTCTTTGTCTTTGTCCCAAGAGATTATACACGTAGCCATAAATACGCACAGCGTGTAACCGCTGGGCAGACACTCGGCTGCATGGGGCACGTGGTCTGTCAGTGTTAATGATCATTGTGACGGTGGTGACTGACGGTGATGCTCTGGATGTGTTTGGATTACGTTGCAAATTGCCGTCAAACACAGTCACTCTCAAAGTTTTATGTGACGAAGACAAAGAATCCCCGTATAGCCTTAACAGACTGTAGGGGCAAGTGCCGTTCGCGAGCACCTATGAAGGCCGGAACGGCACACGAGGGGGTGGGTGGCCAGCACCACGCCCGGCTGCCTTTGTCTCCCTAGTGGCGATGTTTACACACCGCACCAGGTACTCATTTGAGGCTGAGTCGACCTAGGCGAGGCCCAGGACTCGTTCAGATAATCGTCACTCGGTGTTGGTGGCCGTGAGCGGGAATCGAACTCGCCTCGCCGCACACAACACACACACGTTCAAGTACAGACACACGTACACTGGTACACTCACAGCCACACACTCGCACGGACACATACTGACACACACACGCACACACACCTGTACAATCGGACACACGCACCGGCAGAGACACAAGCAGAAACACACAAGCAAACACAAACACACACGATCAGACGCCCACACGGTCACACAAGCAAGTACACTGGACACTAACGCATATATTCGCTATCACACGCACACACAAACGCACTGACACACACGCAGTGACACACAGTGACACACACAAATGCACTTACACCCACAAATACTAAAACACACACATGCACGTACGCACAAATGCACTAACACACACACATGCAATGACACACACAGAGACGCACTGACACACACAAATGCAATGGCACACACACACAAACGCACTGACACACAAAGATAAAGATCCCCCATATAGCCTTAACAGACTATAGGGGCAAGTGCTGTTAACGAGCACTGACACACACGCAGTGACACACACAAATGCACTTACACACATACTAAAACACACACATACACGTGCACACATATGCAATGACACACACACAGACGCACTGACACACACACACGTACCTGCAATTGCAAGCAACAGCAGCAGCAGCTCCTCGCCAGACAGATGATGCATCTTTCTGTCCATCGCCTCTCGCAAAAAAAAATAAAGAAATCCACGGTTCGATTCCGGGCACCGGGTCACACCAACTGCGTCTCTTCCTCCTCCTCCTCCTTGACCTTCCTCCGCGTCCCCAGCACCGTCAGCGCGTCGATCCGCTTCGACGCAACAGAAAAAAAAAATCCCCTCCTACAGGCCCGAATTGCTCACGACCCTCGCTACCATCCACGACCTTCTCGCGATTACGCGGCAACCCACCGCCACCGCTACCACCAATAACGTATCAACTGCAGTGCAATCCCTATCACTCTCTCTCTCTCTCTGCTACCGATGCTGCTGCTGCTGCATTACGCGTCCCTCTGTGCAACGCGCTCCGTGTGTATTTGCTGTCACGTGAAGGGCAGGTTACGTGTGACAATGCGCAAAGACGACGCACGTGTGTGTGACAGTGCGCACGCTGCGTGTGTCGGTCTGTGTGTGTGTCTCTCTCGCTGTGTGTGTCTCTCGCTGTGCGTGTGTGTGTGTGTCTCGCTGTGCGTGTGTGTGTGTGTCTCGCTGTGCGTGTGTGTGTCTCTCGCTGTGTGTGTGTCTCTCGCTCTGTGTGTGTGTCTCTCGCTGTGCGTGTGTGTGTCTCTCTCGCTGTGCGCGTGTGTGTGTGTCTCTCTCTATCTCTCGTGTTACTATGTGTGTGTGTCTCTCTCGCTACCTCTCTCTCTGTGTGTGTTTTCTTGCCTGTCGCTCTGCTGCGGCCGTCTAGCGAATTGAACTCGGAGGCAGCGGTGATGCTGATGAGAGGGAGAGAGAGAGGGAGAGAGCAGAGGAGGAGGGCGTGGAGAGGGAGGGAGGCGATAGGGGAGGGGAGGGTGGATGTGTGCGTGTGTGTGTGCGGTGGTTGTGTGCGGTGTGTAAACATCGCCACTAGGGGAGACAAAGGCGGCCGGGCGTGGTTGCCGGCCACCCCACACCCCCCTCGTGCGCCGCTCCAGACTTAATATTTGCTGCTCGCTACCAGCACTTGCCCCAAAAGTATGTTGAGGCTATACGGGTGATCTTTGTCTTTGCGGTGGATGTGTGCAGTTTGTAACCATCGCATTTGGGGAGACAAAGGCGGCCGGGCGTGGTGCTAGCCACCCCACTCCCTCCGGTGGCGTTCCGGCCTTCATAGGTGCTACTCGCTCATCGCACTTGCCCCACAGGTCTGTTTAGGCTATATGGGGGATCTTTGTCTTTGTGTGTGTGTGTGAAGTTGGTTGTGAGTGTGCGCGTGTCGATGTGAGTGCACGTGTTCGTGGGGAGCGGTGGCGCAGTGGTGAGCGCGCTCGCGCTCCGAATCCCGGTCCACCCAAGTTCGATCCCCCGCTCACGGTCAACGCCAGTGACGCTCATCATCGGTGAGCGTCATTGGCGCTTGCCTCAACAGTCCGTCGCGGCTGTACGGGGCACCTTTGCCTTTGTGCGCGCGTGAGGTCGCGCGCGTGGGGGAGATAGCTGAGAATGAGATCTGATACGCGAGCCCGGATCATTTCCCGCATAGGGGCCGTCCATAAATGACGTCACGCGATTTTGGACGATTTTTGACCCCCCCCCCCCTCAAATATGACTTCACAAAGCTCTCCCCCTCCTCCCCCCCAAAACCATAAAACATGCTTCGAATAGCTCTAAACTATTGTCATTGTAGTGCGTATTTAATGTGGCGCTGCACTCTGATGTTGTAGGAGAAAACATTTATTAGAACGTCTATTTAATTAAGTAGAACGTGTTGTCTATATTTATTAAAAGTTGCGCATTTTGTTGTGACGTCACATTTCTCCAACCCCCCCACCCACCCTCGTCACACATCGTCACAAATGTCTGACCCTCCCCACCACCCAGGTGCGTGACGTCATTTATGGACGGCCCCATATTGTACGTACGTTGAACTTCTTCCGCACCGTACGTAACCCAAACGGTGCCAACAATTCATAACGAAGGTTTTTTTTATTTTGGGGGGGGGGGGGGGGTGTTGGATCGCGTAAGTACAAATGTTGTGTCGTAACGCTCCACCACCCGACACAGCCAAGCAGGTCTGTCGCCTAGTTACCACTTCAGGCCAAATATACGGAACATTAAATTTCGATTTAAAGCTTTCGTGACTGCAGGGATTCATCTCCTTGGTTCTTTCGGTAAAGTCGTCACGTAGAATGGAAATAATAAAATAATAAAAATAAAACATTATAAAGTAAAGTAATAAAAGAATATAATAATTTTAATATGTTAAATTTTTATTATTTTATTATTTCCATTCTACGTGACTTTACCGAAAGAACCAAGAATACGGAACATTTACAATTTGAAAACGACGTCTCGCTGGTCATCACGTCAAGCATCATCGGGCGATTTGCCATAATTCACCATAATATTGGTCGCGAAATCCATGCGTGGTTAACCGTGCTAATAGTATTAACATTAAGCCTCCCACCCCCCTCTCCTTAAACTCCTTCATTTCTACTCTCAAGGCACTCCTCACCTCTGCTTCCTCGCCCATTCGGCTCGTTCTTCCCTCCCCTGTCGCCCTTTCGTGACCTCCCACCCCCCCCAGCCACCCACCTAAAGGACGTGAACTTCAGATCGGGCCGTTCGCAGGCCGGCCACCTCGTGGTCCGGTCGAATGCGTTGTGTCAGGCCCTCCACCACCCGACACAGACGTAGACCGTCGGCCGTACAACCGACTGTTGTGAGAATTGTTCTTCATCCGTTGAACAAGAGCTTTACAGATCATCGGATTTACTCCGGTGTGAATGCGCTCTGATTCCGCCGCGTGGCTATGCTGGGCGGTGGAGGGTTCCGCGAGCGGTGGCGGAGTGGTTAGCGATGTGCGCTGCAGTGGCGATTATCTGAACCGATCCTGGGCCTCCTCCCCTAGGTAGACTCAGCCTCGAATGAGTTAAATTAGCCAGGTGCGGTGTGCGAACATACCCCGAATGGGGAGACAAAGGCGGCCGGGCGTGGTTTTTGTCGTCTATGCCCTGCCGGCCGCCTTCATAGAGCGCTACTATCTATCAGCACTCGCCCGAACAGTCTGCCCAGGCTATGTGGGGGAGCTTTAGCTTTGTCTTTGTGTGTCTGCGCTCCGACGCGCCTCCAGCGCCCCCTCGCTGCTCCGTCGCTCGCATCGCGCCCCGCGTCTCTTCGCTGAGCTGAGGCTTTGCGAGTTTTTCAGCTTAGAACAAACAAAATACACAGGTCCTGTAGTGGTAGTAACAGTAATAACGACGTACAAGGACTAACACGTGTAGAGCCATCAGAGACGCCGGGTATGATGTTATAGAGACGTCGCAGACGTGGGGGAGATGTGGGGGAGATAGCAGAGATTTGGTGGAGATAGCAGAGACGGGGGGAGACGTGGAGGGAGAGGTGAGAGACGTGAGGGAGACGTGGGGGTAGAGGTGAGAGACGTGGGGGTAGAGGTGAGAGACGTGGGGGTAGAGGTGAGACACGTGGGGGTAGAGATGAGAGACGTGGGGGTAGAGATGAGAGACGTGGGGGTAGAGGTGAGAGACGTGGGGGTAGAGGTGAGAGACGTGGGGGTAGAGATGAGAGACGTGGGGGTAGAGGTGAGAGACGTGGGGGTAGAGGTGAGAGACGTGGGGGTAGAGATGAGAGACGTGGGGGTAGAGGTGAGACACGTGGGGGTAGAGATGAGAGACGTGGGGGTAGAGGTGAGAGACGTGGGGGTAGAGGCGAGAGACGTGGGGGTAGAGGCGAGAGACGTGGGGTAGAGATGAGAGACGTGGGGGTAGAGGTGAGAGACGTGGGGGTAGAGGTGAGAGACGTGGGGGTAGAGGTGAGAGACGTGGGGGTAGAGGCGAGAGACGTGGGGGTAGAGGCGAGAGACGTGGGGGTAGAGGTGAGAGACGTGGGGATAGAGATGAGAGACGTGGGGGTTGAGATGAGAGACGTGGGGGGGGAGATCAAAGACGTGGGGGGGAGATGAGACACGTGGGGGGGAGATGAGAGACGTGGGGGGGGGGGAGATGAGAGACGTGGGGGGGAGATGAGAGACGTGGGGGTTGAGATGAGAGACGTGGGGGGGGGGAGATCAAAGACGTGGGGGGGAGATGAGACACGTGGGGGGGAGATGAGAGACGTGGGGGGGGGGAGATGAGACACGTGGGGGGGAGATGAGAGACGTGGGGGGGGGGAGATGAGACACGTGGGGGGGAGATGAGAGACGTGGGGGGGGGGGAGATCAGAGACGTGGGGGGGGAGATGAGAGACGTGGGGGTAGAGGTGAGAGACGTGGGGGGAGAGGTGAGAGACGTGGGGTGAGAGGTGAGAGTCGTGGGGGTAGAGGTGAGAGACGTGGGGGGGGGGGGGGATGAGAGACGTGGCGAGACGTGGGGGACACGTGGGGGAGAGATGAGACACGTGGGGGACACGTGGGGGGGGGGGGGAGACGTGGGGGGGGGGCGAGGGGGTAGTTCGCTGCGCGGGTCGCGACCCCCGCGTTGCCATGGAGACGGAGACGCCAAACAGCAGCGGCACGGACAGCAGCAGCAGCGGTAAGAGCAGCAGAGACACGGAGACACAGAGACACAGAGACAGAGACACAGAGACACGGGGACAGAGACACAGAGACACGGGGACACAGAGACACTGGGACAGAGACACAGAGACACGGGGACACAGAGACACAGAGACACGGGGACACAGAGACACTGGGACAGAGACACAGAGAGACAGAGACACAGAGACACGGGGACAGAGACACAGAGACACGGGGACACAGAGACACAGAGACACAGAGACACATAGACACAAAGAGACAGAGACAGAGACACAGAGACACGGGGACACGGAGACACATAGACACAGAGACACATAGACACAGAGAGACAGAGACAGAGACACGGGGACACGGAGACACATAGACACAGAGACACATAGACACATAGACACAGAGAGACAGAGAGACAGAGACACGGGGACAGGGACACGGATACAGAGACACGGAGACACGGGGATACAGAGACACAGAGACACGGGGACACAGAGACACAGAGACAGACACAGAGACAAAGACACGGGGACACAGAGACACATAGACACAGAGACACAGAGACACGGGGACACAGAGACACATAGACAGAGAGATACAGAGACACGGAGACACTGAGACAGAGACATAGAGACAGAGACACAGAGACACGGGGACAAAGACACGGGGACAGAGACACGGGGACACAGAGACAGACAGAGAGACAAAGACACGGGGACACGAATACACAGAGACAGAGACACGGGGACACAGGGAGACAGGCACACGGATACACAGAGACACAGAGACATAGACACAGAGACACGGGGACACGGATACACAGAGATAGAGACACAGAGACACGGGGACACAGGGAGACAGAGACAGCAGCAGGGACACGGGGACCCGGAGACACACAGAGACGCAGAGACACAGAGACACAGAGACACGGGGACACGGGGACACAGAGAGACAGAGACACAGGGAGACATAGCGACAGAGACAGGAGCAACGGTAAGAGCAGCAGAGACACGGGGAGACACGGAGAGACGCGAGTCTCCCCATGTCTCCACGTGTCTCCCCATATCTCTCCGTGTCTCCACGTGTTTCCACGTATCTCCACGTGTCTCCCCGTGTCTCCACGTGTCCCCCCGTGTCTCCGCATGTCTCCCTATGTCACCCCCTGTCTCCCCGTGTCTCCCAATGTCTCCCCGTGTCTCCACGTGTCACCCCATGTCTCCCCGTGTCTCCGCGTGTCTCCCCATGTCACCCCCTGTCACTCCGTGTCTCCCCGTGTCTCCCAATGTCTCCCCGTGTCTCCACGTGTCACCCCATGTCTCCCCGTGTCTCCCCATGTCACCCCATGTCTCCACGTGTCTCTACGTGTCTCTCCGTGTCTCCACGTGTCTCCGCGTGTCTCCCAGTGTATCCCAATGTCTCCCCGTGTCTTCACGTGTCACCCCATGTCTCCACGTGTCTCTACGTGTCTCTCCGTGTCTCCACGTGTCTCCGCGTGTCTCCCCATGTCACCCCCTGTCTCCCCGTGTCTCCCAGTGTCTCCCCATGTCTCCCCGTGTCTCCCCATGTCTCTACGTGTCTCCCCATGTCCCTCCGTGTCTCCACGTTTCCCCCCGTGTATCCCCATGTATCCCCGTGTCTCCCCATGTCTCCCATGTCACCCCATGTCTCCGCGTGTCTCCACGTGTCTCCCCGTGTCTCCTAATGTATCCACGTGTCACCCCATGTCTCCCCGTGTCTCCCCATGTCACCCCATGTCTCCACGTGTCTCCCCATGTCTCCACGTGTCTCCCCATGTCTCCCATGTCACCCCATGTCTCCGCGTGTCTCGACGTGTCTCCCCATGTCCCAAAGTGTCTCCACGTGTCTCCCCGTGTCTCCACGTGTCTCCCCGTGTCTCCCCATGTCTCCTCGTGTCTCCACGTGTCCCCCCGTGTCTCCCCATGTCTCCCCGTGTCTCCACGTGTCTCCCCGTGTCTCCCCATGTCACCCCATGTCTCCGCGTGTCTCCACGTGTCTCCCCGTGTCTCCTAATGTATCCACGTGTCTCCTAATGTCTCCCCATGTCTCCACATGTTTCCCCATGTCTCCGCGTGTCTCCACGTGTCTCCCCGTGTCTCCTAATGTATCCACGTGTCTCCTAATGTCTCCCCGTGTCTCCGCGTGTCTCCCCATGTCTCCCCATGTCACCCCGTGTCTCCCCAAATCTCCCCATGTCTCCACGTGTCTCCCCATGTCCCCACGTGTCTCCACGTGTCTCCTCCCCGCGTGCCGCAGGGCGACCATGGCGGCTCCGTTCTCCTCCACCCAGCTGCGCGTGCCGCGTGGCCTGTCGGGCCTCCTCGAGGGCCTGTGCACGGCGGTGCTGCGCGACCAGCCCCAGGACATCCTCCTGTACGCCGCCTCCTACTGCGACGCTCTCATAGCCACCCGCGAAGGTCAGGGGGGGCTGGGGAGTTAAGGAGTCGGGGGCAGTTGGAAATTGGTCTGGAGCAGAGGTCGACAACCACAATAATAAGAAGAGCGATTTTTTTTGGGTTCGAATTCGCTCAAACAAAAACGCAACATTTTAAGAGCCGCAATGCAACGTGGTAATAACGCGAGACGGTGGTCAGTTTTTTTTTGGCTTTTGCCGGGACACAAAACGCGAGCCCGATACAGCACGGCGGAGGCAGCGGCTCCGGTGACACCGGGTATCGCAATTCGCGGAAGATAATCCCGTCACGGACTGGACCCTTGACAAAGGACGCGGGGGGAGTGGACGGGGGCTGGTTAAAGGGGCACCCCGTGATGTCTTAGCCAAGTGAGGGTCACCGCGTCGCAAAAGGAGATGAGAGTTGATAATTGTTTTTTTTACCCTTCTATCTGGCAACAAAACTGACACCTTTTTTTTACAAGGAGTCATGTTTGCATAGACCACAATACCTGCAGTCAGAATGCAAACAAAAAACACAACTCTGATAATGTGCACTGTCCTTGAAGTTGATTGGTCCACACCCGAGACAGCTTTCTCTAGAGCCCAGTCTCACATGGTGTTGGACCAGATGACGCCAAAAGGCGCACAACTCAAAGACAATGCACCATCAGAGTATGAGAGCTCGGGGTAAGCATTTACACCATTGGAACCTCATTTGCCAGTAAAATGAGATGAGATGAAAGTTTTCAAAAGGGGGTGGGGGTTGTGAACAGAGGGAGGCGGTAATATAAGCAACTTAGTAAGGGAACCCCAAGGGTAGATGGGGGACGAGATGGTGGTGGGTCCTTAATAATGAACGTGTCACGCGTGTGGCTTCAGATTCGTGGGATTCGCGACCTCTGTGCTGGATGTATACGGGGGGGAGGGTGGAGTGAGAATGGGAAATTTGTCCAGGGCCCACAATTCCAGAGAGGCCCACGAATAAAAATATATAGAGACGTTATTTAAAATTAACTTTAATCTGGCTGTCGCCTGATGAAGCTAGTTGTAATTTTTGGCGAAACTTCGTACTCAGATTGTAAATGTTGTGGCTTGGCTCTCCAACACACCGGTGTGCTGTACTAGTGACGAATTGTCCACGTTCTGTTTACGTGACAAACCTTACTAATTGGCTGTGTCGGGTGGTGGCGGGTTTAAGGACACATTTATATTTTTACGCGATCTAACCCAAACCCCCGCGAAATGTAAATGAGTCGGCCTCGTGCTGGGAGTTAGTGTTTGTGTGTGGCCATTTAAATGCAGTCGATTACCGCGTACCGACTTACGAACCGTTCGACTTCCGAACTGATCTCAGGAACTAATTGCGTTCGTTAGTCGAGGACTGCCTGTATGGGGAGGCGGGGGGGGCTAAAGTATCGCCCACCCGCCCCCTGGCCAATCACGACCCGGCGTTGTCACCCACGCTGCTGTTACGCAATTCCTACACCATCGCCGCTGGGTGGCGCCAATAAGCGCACAAGGCCACCTTGCCCGGCAGCGCAGGGTTTCATAATCAACGTTTTTGGGTTTAGATCGCGTTATTTATAAATGTGTCGTAACCCTCCACCACCCGACACGGCCAATCAGTAAAAAAGTGTCACGTTGACAAAGGACAATTAGTTCACTGCTTTAGCCCACCGGTGTGTTGAAGCGTGAAACCACAACATTTACAATTTGAGTACGACGTTTCGCTGGTAATTGCATCCAGCATCATCGGGCAATTCGCCATTCTGGCGTGACACTTTTTTACTGATTGGCCGTGTCGGGTGGTGGAGGGTTACGACACATTTATAAATAACGCGATCTAAACCCAAAAACGTTGATTATGAATAATATTGGTCGTGAAAGCCTACACGTGTTAAACTAGCGCAGGGTTTGACAGCAAGCAGCACGACAATGAAGTCGACAAGCTGACGTTTGATTCCCGGCTACCAGTGTCGGATGAAGCTAATGCGGGGCCTGTAGCATGATGTTATAAAGGGGCCCTCAATAAAAAAATATATATAAATATTAAAACACAATTGTTTTACTTGCATCGTAAAGTAATTGTATTTTTTTCATTTGCTATACCGGCAGATAACACGACAAATCGCTAACCTTAAACACCCGGTCGTTCGTAAAAGTTGAAGGCAGTATAGTACTCCAGTAATAGAGCAAGTGCAGAATCACTGAACCGGAATCGATAGCTAGAAAGCATTTAGCGCGGGACCCTTGAAAGTGCGGGGCCCGTAGCATATGTAGCTACTTTTCAAAAGCGACCTGGTCACAAATGATAGCTCAACGAAGTGGCTTATGGTAAATCTGGCTGTCCGCCTGATGAAGCTAGTTGCAATTACTGGCGAAACGTCGTACTCAGATTGTAAATGCTGTGGCTTGGCTCTCCAACAAACTGGTGATGCTGTACTAGTATACTACACTATACACTACACTATACACTACACTATACACTACTATACACTACACTACTATATACCTCACTATACACTTCACTATACACTACACTATACACTACACTACTATACACTGCACTATACACTAGTGCTGTACTAGTGACGAATTGGCACGTTCTGTTTACGTGCCAATTCGTGGCGGGTTTAACGACACTTAAAAGCTATATTACACTTAAAAACTATATTATGAAGTGGCTTACCACGTGGAAATTTATTGCAGCAGCCACATACTCGAAACGCGTGATGTTGATTCAAAATGCGAAGGTAGAAACCGGTAGGATCCTGTGAAAAAAACACCCGACCAAGGCGAGAGAGACATCGCAAACTCCAAATATACCGACATCAGCGTCGCGATCGAATCGACGACCGCCTGTACACCAGGCGAGGTAGTTAACATCTCGCCACCGTGGCGTCTGCATTACATTTGGTCCGCGACTTCTATTGTCGCATGTCCTCTGTGACTCGTTTTTTTTTGCTTTGCGCAGAGGCCACAAACATGAAACGCGCAATTACATCTGTAAAATAATAAAAATATATAAATTGTAATGCCTACGTTAGCGACTCACGGCGGCCATGCTTGGACTTGTTATACGATGCTAATTTGACCCGTTTGAGATGAATCAACGCTCTAATGTGCGTTTAGACAAATCTCCACTGGGATTCATCAGGTAGAGGGGCAGTCGCCGGCAAATGTGAATTAACTTTTCCACGGATGTCCATCCCCCCACAGAGCCCCCCCCCCATTAAGCCCCCCCCCCACAGAGCCCCCCCCCCACTCTCCCCCCACAGAGCCCCCCCCCACTCTCCCCCCACAGAGCCCCCCCCCACTCTCCCCCCACAGAGCCCCCCCCCACTCTCCCCCCACAGAGCCCCCCCCATTCTCCCCCCACAAAGCCCCCCCACTCTCTCCCCCCACAGAGCCCCCCCCACCCACTCTCTCCCCACAGAGCCCCCCCCCCACTCTCCCCCCACAGAGCCCCCCCCATTCTCCCCCCACAGAGCCCCCCCCACTCTCCCCCCACAGAGCCCCCCCCACCCACTCTCTCCCCACAGAGCCCCCCCCCACTCTCCCCCCACAGAGCCCCCCCCATTCTCCCCCCACAAAGCCCTCCCCCACTCTCCCCCCACGGAGCCCCCCCCCACTCTCCCCCCACAGAGCCCCCCCCACTCTCCCCCCACAGAGCCCCCCCCACTCTCCCCCCACAGAGCCCCCCCCACTCTCCCCCCACAGAGCCCCCCCCACTCTCCCCCACAGAGCCCCCCCCCCCACTCTCCCCCCACAGAGCCCCCCCACTCTCCCCCATCAGAGCCCCCCCCCACTCTCCCCCCCCAGAGCCCCCCCCCCACTCTCCCCCCACAGAGCCTCCCCCACTCTCTCTCCTCCCCCCACAGAGCCCCCCCCACTCTCCCCCTACAGAGCCCCCCCCACTCTCCCCCCACAGAGCCCCCCCCCACTCTTCCCCCACAGAGCCCCCCCCACTCTCCCCCCACAGAGCCCCCCCACTCTCCCCCCACAGAGCCCCCCCCCCACTCTCCCCCCACAGAGCCTCTCCCCTACTCTCCCCCCACAGAGCCCCCCCCCCACTCTCCCCCCACAGAGCCCCCCCCACTCTCTCCCCACAGAGCCCCCCCCCATTCTCCCCCCACAGAGCCCCCCCCCCACTATCCCCCCACAGAGCCCCCCCCACTCTCCCCGCACAGAGCCCCCCCCCACTCTTCCCCCACAGAGCCCCCCCCACTCTCCCCCCACAGAGCCCCCCCCACTCTCACCCCACAGAGCCCCCCCCCCCACTCTCCCCCCACAGAGCCCCCCCACACTCTCACCCCACAGAGCCCCCCCCCCACTCTCCCCCCACAGAGCCCCCCCCCACTCTCACCCCACAGAGCCCCCCCCCACTCTCCCCCCACAAAGCCCCCCCCCACTCTCCCCCCACAGAGCCTCCCCCAACTCTCCCCCCACAGAGCCCCCCCCACTCTCCCCCCACAGAGCCCCCCCACACTCTCACCCCACAGAGCCCCCCCCACTCTCCCCCCACAGAGCCCCCCCCCACTCTCCCCCCACAGAGCCTCCCCCAACTCTCCCCCCACAGAGCCCCCCCCACTCTCCCCCCACAGAGCCCCCCCACACTCTCACCCCACAGAGCCCCCCCCACTCTCCCCCCACAGAGCCCCCCCCCACTCTCACCCCACAGAGCCCCCCCCCACTCTCTCCCCACAGAGACTCTCCCCCCACAGAGCCTCCCCCAACTCTCCCCCCACAGAGCCCCCCCACTCTCCCCCCACAGAGCCCCCCCACTCTCACCACACAGAGCCCCCCCACTCTCACTCCACAGAGCCCCCCCCCCACTCTCCCCCCACAGAGCCCCCCCCCACTCTCTCCCCCCACAGAGCCCCCCCACTCTCTCCCCACAGAGCCCCCCCCCCACTCTCCCCCCACAGAGCCCCCCCCCACTCTCTCCCCCCACAGAGCCCCCCCACTCTCACCCCACAGAGCCCCCCCACTCTCACTCCACAGAGCCCCCCCCCCACTCTC